GGACGGCCTTTTTTTCCTGCCCCTAGACTCCATAGTAGTTCCAAGTTGGGATTACTTTATAGGGTTCTAAATATGAGGCCCGAAAGGAACCCCAATTGGGAAACCCTAGTCAAAGAAAGCATTGAAACTGACCGAACTTCGGGTTAGGCCCTTAGGCTTCAGGGCCTTCGAATGGTTGGGGGCGACTTGTGCCGAAAGTTCCCCTTGAAGCATTAGCCATTCAAGGAAGTGCTACCCAAGCTTGTCCTGAAGCTTTGCCTGCCTTGAGCGAGTGTGAGAGTCGGAACCCTAGAGTCAGAGGCTTGAGGCCATATCATACGCACCATATCAGTTCATAGGATTAGATATTGTGTTGTTGAGTTCTATTTTCCAGTACAATACATTCCACTACATTATCTAGGTTATAGTTCTCTGACCTGCTCTTATTCACATTTATGCTCTGTTATGCCATTCGGGTAGATACTGTTTATGCTAATAGAGGTGTTGTATTGTGCTGTTATGTTGTATCATATTGTGATAGACTGTACTATGCTGTGTTAGACATGCATTCTACCATCGTGTATGCTACAATGTGTTCCAAACATGTCGTATCTATCCATGGTTATGCTGAATTATGTCTTGCGCTTGTCTATGTTGTGTTATTTTGTGCTGTCTTGCGCGATGTTATCTTCTTTGTCCTTTTCTATTCTATGGTAAACCATCGGACTATGGCGTCCTGAAAGGTCTGGGAGCCGGGTTCGGGGACTGGACGGGCAGTCCAAGACGTATTGAGGTTTTTGGGATGGTTCAAAAACCCTAAGGGTCCAAGTGCCCAAATAGTAGGGTTTCAAGGTCCAAAACCATTCAGAGCATGGATTTGGGGGCCTAAGACCCTACTATTTGGGTACCTGGACCCTCTGTGAAAGCTCCAACTTCGCAGTCCCAAGATCTTACGATGATGGCGTGAAGCCAGTCCACTTACGTTTTGTTGTCGGCGTATGGGACAGACAGTTCAGGGTATGGACACGCTGGTACAAGGAACCCCTCACATAGATGTCTCGATAATTTCCCGACATACCTCAGGCGCTACTCCAGTTATGAAGCACCCTGAAATCCTAAACTCCTACGCCGTAGAAGGCTCAAAGTGTACCTATCATCGCTGAAACACGGCCGCTAGGATCTCATGCCCTACGAAGAAAAGGCGGTGGCGCCTTGGCCAGGGCTTGTTTCAAAGGTCCAGGGTTTAGGATTGTTGTAGGGTTTATGGTTTTTAGGGTTTAGGGTTTGGCAGAGTCTGGGTTAAAAAAGGGTCCAGGGGCCAAAACTTGAACTACACAAAGTATGGTAGTACCTAGAGGCTCTATGATAGTTCCTAAGGGTCCCCCATTAAGGGTCCCTCCTTTTCCCCCTTGATACTACAGAAAAGGGAACTACTATGGAGCCTATAGGTATTAAGGCTCCTATAGTATGGTATCCTTTATAGATCCCTTATAGTAATCCTTATACAGTAGAAGCCAGAAAGTTGGAACATGGTTTTAGGAGGATTAGTGCTAGGATTCCTTATGCTTTACGCGAAGGGCATCAGGATAGTCATGTTCCAACTTTCTGGCTTCTACCATAGGGTATTGTATGAGGGGGCTTTATCGGGGGTCCTTGGGAGTTTTGTATGGGGATTTTTGAAGTTTACTAGTGGCTTGGGGCTCGGAGTAACAAGGAGCTACTACAGAGAGCACGGTAGCTGGGACCTCAGATCCTCTCTCGGCTCTATGTTCCCCAAATCGGTGGGTTGTCAAAATTTTGGTCCCTTTTTGGATACCCTAAATATGAGGTGCCGTATCATAATAAGGACCCAAAAATAACAGGGACCCTAATTTTGACAACCACCCAAAAGTATGTATAATAGATGGCCTTTGTTCGGCATTGGGCCATGGTTTTGTCAATTCTTGCGGGGGGGGGGGGTATAGGTAGGGATGACATATCCTTCTGAGATCCGGCGAGCCTCGATGCACATTGCAGATGGGACTGACCGATGATAAAGCAACCGCGTCAAACCACCCCTGCCTTGTCCATTGAAAGGATGAAGGGTTTAGTTATGGTTTAGGGGCTTATTATATTCTTCCAGGGCAACTATATCCCCTAATCCTCCGACCTGCGGGGAGGTAAAGCGTCCTGTAAACAAATGGTGCCCGAGTTGCGATGTACTTTCTAGTAGGAAGCCGGCTCGCCTCAAAACGCGAAGCGTGAACTACCTAGTTCGCGACCTCCGGTAAGTTTAGAGCTGAGGGTTCGGAGCTTACTAGACGTTACCAGAGAGGAAAGTGGAGAATATAGTTCAACCAGATAAGACATGATACAAAATTAGGGGCACCTTATTTGGGTTCCCTTTAATAAGGATCCTACTATTTAGGGTATTAATGCACGAGTAGCTCATGTAGCTCAACCGACCACGCCCTCGCTTGGTGTTGATTTTGCTGCTCTGATCACCGTGGGGCTTTGTGCATCTTCCGTGTTCTGTTTCTCTGCTACGACCTAGTTCTGCCAAGATAGATCAACAAGATCAGCTTTCTTGTGTAATCATCGTTCATGGTGAAGCCGTATATTGATGCACGCCCATCGTCCTGATTGCTGCACGTCTTGCGCATCCCTTACACTCCGAGCCGATTGAATGCCTGCTCGTTTCAGCAAAATAGCTTCAGGTCGCGGCATTCAACAAGCTCGACACGCACAAGAGCGGCAAGGCATTCTGCTTCAAGATAATGCTACATGCCTCGACATTTTCTTCGGGAAGAGCAGCTGCCATTTGCATCAGGGGTTATAGTAAGGTATGATAATGTATGACAATGTACTATGATATATTATCACAAGTACAATATGTCATAACATTTCTACGTTATAACATATTACAATGTATTATATTTGTACAATTGTTTTGACAACTACCTATGTATAGTAACTAGGCACGTCACAAGCATCCTTCGAGCAACAGCGACATGGACAGCATGCTGCTTTCCTAGTGCTAGTTAGCATTCCACATTAACGGCCGATTGTTAAGTACCCGCCGAATATGGGAGTTTCCGAAAATAGGGGACCGTAATATAGCACCCTAAATAGTAGGGATGCTTATTTTATCAGGACCCCCCAAGATGGTACCCCCTATTTTCGGAAACTCCCATATGCAGACAAGATTTCGGCTGTTTGTCAGTCAACCCTGGCACTCCCGAGCCGAATATAGGGGCCTTAAATTTAATAATTACCTGCATTATTTCAGGGTTTCCTTGTTATGAGTATAGCATAATATACCCCTATTTCAGGGTTCCTTGTTGTGAGTATAGCATAATCTACCCCCAAACCCTACTCTATTCATTAAGGCTCCCATATTAGGCAACCCCAGAGCACCTCCTCCGCTGTGCAGTTGGAAGTCCACTCCTTCTTCCAGCTTTGCCAAAGCTTGGTTCGCGTTCTCAGCGGGAGGGGGTGGCAGGTTTGCAGTACAAAGCTGACCAGGGAAATTGTACATCTTCAGCTGCGAGCAGTTCGATTCCCGCAAATCCAAGCACTTGTATAACATGGGAGTCGGAATAATTAGTGTCGGTCGAAAACATAAGGCCCCACAGAGTTAATAGTCAGTTGGTGCCATGTTCCCCAAAGCCCTCGTCTAGTTGTTTTGCAGAGCACGGAAGCCGCAGCTCCCGCCCAGCACTGAACGAAACGGCCCGAGGACATACATCTCAACTCAAGGCTTGCACGTGAGTGGCTGCAGCCCAAGTGTGGAAGCTCATGGTGTGATGTGGAGGGTTGGAGGTAATATAGGAACCTGATAAAGAAACCCTGGCCCGAAAGCCCCAATAGGTTAGGATCCATATTAAGAACCCTAATAAGGACCCAAGGCTTCTTAATCAGGTTCCTACATTAGATTCACATCCTCAGCCCTGAGGTGTGAAGCATTGAAACTCGAATTTTCCTTCGAAGACGCAGTTGAACTTCTCGCAGCACTAAACCGCAGCTTCGGTTATGAGCAAGCCTTCGCCTTCAGGCAGCAAATCAACGTTGTTGCTTGTTAATGCCAAGGTTGGGCAGCTTGAACCAGGCCACTGGCAGATGAATCCGGCTTCCGACTGCCTCACTTCCCTCGAACTGCAAACGCGTCATTCAGTATGGTGGGTAGCTGCCGGTTGGTGCTCGATTTCGGAAGTGTTGTTGCTGTTGAGCTTGCGATGTTGCCGCTTTTGCCCTGGACCCATACTTGATGCACTCGAGCTTGGCAGGTGGATGGTCTGAGCTTAGACCAGGTCAAAAGCATCTGCGCGCGGATTCTGGCCGCAACAGACTCAGCCTCCATCCTCGAATTCATGGTATAATCATGATAATCAGATTAGTCTCTATAGTGCAGTATGAATTGGCGTGCGGCGTGGTTTAGTATGGTTTAGCATAGCTCGCTAAGCCGAACTTTGGCGTTCCGGCATCATGTATTTTACGATCTAGAATTTGAACCCTCAGGTCGTTTCAGTGTTGCATTCTTCTGTTTTGGCTATTTGGACAAGTTAATGCGCTCTTCTGTGGCCAGTGGCGTGTCTAATTGGGCAGAAGGGCATGTCAGGAGCATGAAATTGAACAGATTTGACGTGCAATGCCCTCCATTCAGTTTCTTGCTCCGCAGCCCAGGGAAACTGGTCTTCGACGTCTAATTGATACACAAGCCTGAATGGATGGTAAAACCATTTCCTTCCAGTCCCTTCGTAGTTTTCCCATGGTGTACCCGAAAACACTATTCTACAACCTTAGATTGTTAAGGCCCTGGCGCTAATCTTGAGCAGAACGATTTGAGCACTTCTGAACCGAATACTGGAAGACCATTCACCTTTGCTTGTTGGGGCTGGCCTTTGTGAAACCTTGAACTTGCCTGCTTCTCTCCGGCTGTTTTCGTGGACAGCTCGTGTAATCGGCCATGGGTGATCCTGCCTCCGTGTAGAGGCAGCACTACATAGCGTGACCCGCTTCTTTCGGAAGTTTGGCCGGCAGAGATGGGAAGGCCGAGCCAGACGAGCAGCGAAGATTGCATCGATCTGCAGGTGCCGGGCGAGAGGCAAAACAGTGGCCCCAGTCAGAGCAGCAGCCACGGCACTGCGTCAAGTCCCGGGCACAGCATAGAATCCGAGGCCTCTGATACAGACCTGCACATGGAAGCAATGATACCAACTCTGGTAGATCGCGTTGCCAAGATGGAGGTGGTAAACCCAGAGGTCTTGAGGGTGACGCCGGTGTTTCGCGCTACGGAGCATTTCGCAATAGCATTGCGTGTCGAGTCTGCCGGAGACTTTTTCCACAAGAGTCACAGGAGTCAAAAAATATCGACATTTTGGAGTCACTCTTGGCACGCAGGGCATTGGAAGAAGATCTTGGCAATTATAACGCTCTACAACGGCACTGCTGCAGTGTTGTTGTCTTTGCTGACCGGGGCGTGGATGATGGTGCTTTTTAGTCTGGGAATCCTGCCTGGAATTGATCGTGGATGGTGGACTGACAGCTTTCAGTGGTCTTGTTGGTCAACTTTTACAGGTTTCGTCGTCGCAAGTCTTGTCATTGTTTTCTGGCGGCCACGGACCGGAGTTTTCCTTGACCGCATTTGCATCAGCCAAAAAGACGCCCGCTTGAAGACGGAGGCCATACTAAGCTTGGCTGGGCTTTTGAAACATTCTGACAGAATGCTCATTCTGTGGGATCCGACATGGACTGAGAGGTTGTGGCTAAGTTGGCCATTGGGATATGTTGTGTTTACCCTTTCTTGGTTCTTAGAAGGGTCTCGAGAATTTCGAATATTTCGCTGAGCCAACCTAGGTGGTGCTTGTTCGAGCTTGCCGCCTTCCTGAAAAGCAAGACGACACAACAGCAGCACCTTACCGTCAGGCCCATTTTCATGGGACCGCTTTCCATCGCAACATTTCTTACTTTTGCCGCTGTTGCAATGCCAATCGCAACAGTACCTGTCGACGACGAAAGAACGATCGTCCAGCTGCTTTCGGCCATTGTCTTCTGCGCGATTGTGGTTGCAGTCCCAACTGTCAGCACCGTCCGAAGCTACTTTCGAGACTTGGACACCATGAAGCTGCAGTTGTTGTCGATCTCCGTTGATTCTACAAGGAGTTCATGCTGTGATTTAAATCATGTGAGCCCTTCGGGTGAACGCATGCTTTGCGACCGTAAGATCGTGAAAGAGTGTGTGAAGATTTGGTTTGGCAGCGAGCTAACTTTCGAGGACACGGTGCGCACAGAGGTCTTAGACATTTTGAACCGTGATCTCACCCAGAAGGTATTCAGTACTCCATGGGCTTGGGGGGTGACTTCTCCTATCATTCTGGCTTTCATGGACGTCTCTGCCAGCTGGACTCAAGCCGACTTTCCTTGGAAGCTGTGGGAGCACCCTGCTGTTGCCCTTCTACTCGAAGGATTGATGACTTGGTTCCTCTTCGTCCCAGCCAACAAGGATCTCTTGATACTTTTGGTCAGGCTTGGGCGGCGGAGGCCAAGGAATCCTTGTCTTGAGCTCCTGAAGAACCTACTGGTGCTGGCTGCAGCAGCCATTCCTCCCCTTGCATTGGTCGTAGCTTATGGCTTCACTCGATTCACAGATCAGGTTGTTTTCGACACTGAGAATGCCATGCTTCGCGCGGTGGGTTTTGCATGCTGCACACTGCTTATAGCACTGTGCAACTTCCTCCTAGGACTTGGCCTGAAGGCTCTATTACGCCGGCCGGGTTGGTAATGCCCTTGCACCCTGTTGCAAAAACTGCAATCGGTGAGGATGTGACCCTGATACGGCGTTGCGCCTTCGCGGGGGTTGATGCCCTATGCTTCTCCTGCATCCAACTTATCCGGTAATCTGGTAAGTTGGCCGTGCCTGGTAAAATACATGAACCATCTAGTCGAGGAGCTCGCTGTCACAAAGGAGGTTCTGGCCGAGAGCGTTCCTACTTCTCCGCACTTTTTTGAACCACGACACCTTTGTGGAGAGCTCCATGTTCCGAGCCATGCGGTCTACCGATACGGGCACGATCCGAGGTCGCGGGAAGGCCCATCATCAAGAGAAGCATCAGACAATACGAGGATAGGGGCCGCGTAGTGTTATGCCCGACCCCTCGAGCATTAGTCGCAGCTGAAGGGCTGCATGGCATGGTATATTGTAGTGCATCTACACTCTGCTACGAGTCTCTGACCTTCTTATGTGGATCTGCCTGAACCTATTGGGGAATTTTTTCCCCCAATATGTTTAAAGCTATAGTATAGTGCATCTACACTCTTCTACGAGCCTGGAGAAGCTGTAATTAGCTGTCAACGTCACAGCTTTGACGGCTGTGACTTCGGAGTTACCCTGCAATGCGGGCCTTGTCCTTGCTAGGTAGGAGGAAAAACCCCTAAACTAAACCCCAAACCCCTAAACCCCTAAACCCTAAACCCCTAAACCCCTAAACCCTAAGCCCTAAACCCCTAAACACCCCTAAACCCCTAACCCCCCAAACCCCCTCTGGGAGGAAAAACACCCTCACTGTGGGGACCAAGAGCCTCCCTGCTCGACTCGAAAGCCCCCTTGCGTTTAGGGTTTAGGGTTTAGGGATTGGCGCAAGACACTTGAAAGAGGTACCTATTGCATAAATACGTCCCAGGACCCCAAACCTATAACCCAGTTTCCGGTAGCCTATTATAGGGGCCTAAAGACTTACCAATACTACAGGTATAGTATAATATACCCCGAAAACCACATGCTAATTCATTAAGGCCTTTACATTACCCAAAGGCCCCAAAGTAGCTCCTTTTTGGGAGTTCGTATATATAAAATCCTATAAGGTAATCCTGTTCCTCTGGGTATAAACGCCATACTCTGGCCGGCCGAAGGCTCAGACGCCGGCCGTGCGTGCATGTGCAGCCGGGAGGGCGCTCGCCTTGAAACGGCCTCAGAAGGTCTGCAGGCTTGCTGGGTGGCAGTTTTCGGGCCCATGCCAGTATTTCATGAATAGGTTAAAGTTAGAAGGGGCCCCCAGCCTGTAATAGTGGTATAATAGGTATATAATAGGGCCCTAATATAGTCCTTATAGTTACTATTACAGGGTGGGGGCAGCTTCTAATGAATAGGTACCTCTCTAGGGACCATAAAGGAAGTCTGAAAGTTGCGAGAAGTGCCACCGAGTTGCTGGGGTAGTGGTCTTGGAGGGTTTCAGGCTTCCAGGTACGGCCTTCCCTGAAGGGCTTTGGGCCTAGGGTCTTGAGGAGCTTTGGGATTGCGGCATGGGGCTAGGGCCTAGGGAGTTTTCCGAGAGAGAGGTGAAGACGAGAGAAAAGAGACAGAGGAGAGAGAGAGAGAGGGAGCGGTATGAGTCGGTATGAGGGTTCGGCGTTTCGGGGTAAAGCTAAGGATAAGATGTTCGGCCTGGGGTGCATAAGTTTTTTTGGCCTGGTGGGAGTGTAGGTCCTCAGGGAAGGAGAAAGTCCGGTATCACTCGTTTGTCTCTCTCGTCTATCTCTCTCCCTCTCTCTCTCTCTCTCTCTCTCTCTCTCTCTCTCTTTCTATCTCTCTGTCTTTCTATGTATATGTGTATATATATATATATATATGTATATATATATATATATATATGATTATACATGCACACAATATATGTCTACATGTGTGTACATATATGTTTTCACACACATACACACATACTTATACACAGATGTATACCATGTTGTATTATGTCATACATACATTCAGCAGAACCAAAACATGCAATACATCTGATAACTCAAAACTGTATGTACATATATATATATATATATATATATATATATATATATATAATATGTGCAGACTGATATGTTGATATGTTCAGGTTGTCGGCCAGCGACATAAATATGAGAAATACTGGGAGGGGTCCTCCCTTCTAAACTCGGTTGCGGAGTGCTTTGATGACGAGTGCATATGGCGTGGTCCTGTTAGGCCCCATACAGCGCAAGATTCGCAAGCTTAAGCAGTGCCCTGTTAAAGAGACAATGATGTAGACCTCCCCCCTTAAGACAGCTGCCTCTATGATTTGAAGCGCGTATATATAGGTATGGTAACCCCCCTTCCGCGGTAGTTCTTCGGGGGGGGGGGGGGGAGGGTTAGCATATATATCTATATATAAACAGAAATGTAGACATATATATATATATATATATACATATATATATATGTACAGAACGGGGGACCCTGGGAGTGCGCATCTGCAGTGATTTACGCGCCCGTCTTTCAAAAAAAAACCAACAAACCATAAAAACCAAAAAAAACATAAAAAAACAAAAAAAACAACCATAAAAACCATAAACACCAAAAAACTCAAAAAACAAAAAAAACATAAAAGCCAAATAAACAAAGATCTTACATTCTCCGGCCATGGACACCTCAGTCCAGGAGTCTCTGATAATTGTTTTTGTTGTTTTTTGTTTTTGTTGTTTTGTTTTTTTTGTTTTTTTTGTTGTTTTTTTGTTTTCTTGATTTTTTCGAAAGACTCGCGCGTAAATCACGGCAGATGCGCACTCCCAGGGACATAACGTAGCATGGCCAACGTATACGACTAGATAGCAGTGCGAAATACCGCACTTGCACATCAGCACTTTTTGTTCTCAGGATGATGAGAAGCTTTGTGGGTATGCGAGGCGCATCAAAACTACAGCGACGTCACCTTGAGTGCAGACTTCATATCGTACACACACAAGCAAACACTACATAGTTCTATATGGATTGCTATTTGGGTATCCTTGCTTGACTTCATATTGAGACTTATATACAATTAGATAACATATAATCAAGGTTATGAACATCGACAATAACGAACCAGTATCGTAATAACGAACATGAGATTAAAGATAAAGCTTCTATTAGTATCCAATTACGATATTTAAAATTAGCAAATATTTTTCTTATACAATAACGTTATGACAAACAAATAAATAATTATACAAACAAATGAAATAAGCTAGATTCATTAATTATGCCTTCGTTATTCTGGTAGGCTACTCAGCGCCTGCGTGATATAGCGATCAATTATCTGTCGAACTCCGCTTGTTTTACAGTAACTACCATTTTTAGTGTTAATACGAGGACTATTAAATGGGTCTCTGAAATATATAGGTAGATACCGATTCGTCGATACTTTTTGTGATTATTTTTCTAACTTAAAACAAAGATGAAGTGTATAGTACTGGTGATTATATTGTTGTAAATTGGTATAGTCATTCAATCTTGTTTTAATTTCACATAGGCTCTTCTTAGTATACTAGAAAACTTGGATGTGTATAGATACCTGTGCGTGGGAAATATGTAAGTATGCATGTGTGCTATATATATATATACGTGAATATGTATGAGTACCTATTTTTGAAATGCATGTGTAAACTGTGTTGATATAAAAAATAAAATACTAGTACTGTTCTATGCGAGACCTTGTTTTCTTTCGTAAGTAAAAACTGCAGGCATAATTAGTGAATCTAGCTTATTTCATTTGTTTGTATACTTATTTATTTGTTTATCAAAACGTTATTGCATAAGAAAAATATTTGCTAATTTAAATATCGTAATTGGATACTAATAGAAGTTTTATCTTTAATTTCATGTTCGCTATTACGATACTGGTTCGTTATTGTCGATTTTCATAATCTTGATTATATGTTTTTTTATTGTATGTAAATCTCTATATGAAGTCAATTATTTGGAAGACCTAGGCTTTCCTAAATGGGTGCATATCTATATATTGTATTGGCCAACAACTTTATAAGCTTAAAGAACATATTATGCTTGTATGTTAAATTATATTTCGTTCTTGTTAGAGGATTTGTTCATTGATTTATATGTTTAGCTTGTCCACATATCAATGTGCTTTCTATATTTCGATTATTCTTCTGAATATGACTATAAATAGAATATGATAAATACATGTATGTGCCACTTTACTACGCATTTGTTGCTGGTCATCCAGTATGCTTTCTATATTCCGATAATTCTTCTGAATATGACTATATTTAAAATATGATAAATACATTTATGTGCCACTTTACAACGCAATTGTTGCTGGTAATCTATAGAATATCGGTTTGGTGTGTATTGAAAAGTTTCGTATATCTAGTGCTATTGTTGTCTATGTTTGGATTGAATATTCGGTTATTATCGTAAAATGTATCGATAAGAGTATTATTGCAAAAGGCATGGTTGGTGATAATAATAGGAATATAATCAAATACAATATCACTTATAGATCTCCAACGTCCGGCCCAGCCCGTGACTCAAAAAGATCAGAAGTTTGTACTACATCTAGAAGCATGCTCCACACACTGATATGTGTATGTAACTATGTATGCATAGTGAGAAGTCGAAATTTGTCGATTAATGTAAGGCACTTTATAATATATATAATATATATATATATATACATATATATATATATACATATGCCGAGCTCTCTATTATGCACAATGTCACACATACATATGAGGGTATATATACATATATATATATACATATGTATATACATTTATCCGTATACCTTTATTCTGCATATATATCTATGCGCATGATAGCCTCATCGAATGTAAGTGCGCAATCCCGCCCTCCAAGTTCACGAAGCAAACCTGGTATATGATCACCACGAAACTCCGACATGGCTTCAGAGATACGAAACGAGAACACCAAGAAAGACTGTTTGAGCTTTCGTGGCAACGATATAACAGCTTGCGAACGAGAAAGAAAGAATGTCG